CAAGCCCCATGGAATGCCTGGGAACACTGTCCAGCTCGCCAGCGATGGCTGTAGGACCAGGGTGCCCACAGCAAACACGGGTGAGATGCAGGTCACATATCTGAAGAGAAAACATCCCCCACATGTGTCGTAGCGTCGAGATGTGTGCATGCAACACATACCCTGCTCTCGTTAACACGAGGAATGGTATTCCTTGTCCACTAGACTGGCGTTCTTGCAAAAGCAACCCTAAGGGAAATCCACACAGAATTTTGAGAAAGAAAAAAAGGGGCTATTTTGAGGGAAGCATTGCAGGAAAGAGATTTCCTAGTGAAGGCCTGGATGTTTGAGAGGTTGGAGTAGAGGGAGTTTGTTTAGAAATAGAACTTTAAGCGTAAATATTTTTATTTCCCTGATATGATATCGTTATTTTAGTGCAGCTGTGTCCCCGTCTCTGGGGGACGTCCCCTCTCCTCTGGGTCATGGACATCTTGTCCTCGTGCTCAAATTCCCCCAGAGAGTGTTGTTGCTGATGTGCCCTGTCATAGATCTGACTCCTAGGTCTTTCCTACTTCTTTTCTCATTGTCTCTCAGGCTGCATGGAAAGCACCGTGGCCCTTGTTAACGTAGGTTTCTCAGGGGCACAGACTAGAGTCAAGACAGAACTTTAGGTTGTATCCATTTTGGTCTTTAATAGTGATTGTGTTGGAAAAATAAATATGATCTTGGAGGTGAGATTGAAATGTTGCATTGCAGCGTTGTGGGAAGGTTTGTATGTCTGTGTTGCCTCCTGGGGCAGATGAGAAGCTTCCCGAAGGCAGGGCCCATGCTTTGTGTACCTTTCCTCATGCACCGGGAGCCTTGCAGAGAAGTAAATGCTTAGTGGGTACTTGAATGAAAGAATGAAGACGGTACCAGAAGGTGGATTTTGTCGATGCTTTATCTGTGGTTAATCAGAAAGTTTTGATTGATTGCTCCCTGATGGCTTCAGCTCTGTACTGAGTATACACGTGGATTTATAGTCTGGGAACTGATAGTCTGACGGTGAAGACAGGAAATACAAACTCCAGAGAATGTCTATTTTTAAAATGAATTTGATAGTAGAAGAAGGCTGAGACATATATTTTCTTTTTTTTTTAATTTTTTAAATTTTCTTTTCAGTGTTCCGGAATTCATTGTTTATGCACCACACCCAGTGCTCCATGCAATACGTGCCCTCCTTAGTACCCACCACCAGGCTCTCCCAGGCCCTCACCACTCTCCCCTCGAAAACCCTCAGTCTGCCCCTTAGAGTCCACAGTCTCTCATGGTTCATCTCCCACTCCAGTTTCCCCCAACTCACTTCTCTCCATCTCCCAGTGTCCTCCATGTTATTCCTTACGCTCCACAAGTAAGTGAAACCATAGGATAATTGACTCTCTCTGCTTGACTTATTTCACTCAGCATAATCTCCTCCAGTCCTGTCCATGTTGATACAAAAGTTGGGCATTCATCCTTTCTGATGGAGGCATAATACTCCATTGTGTATATGGACCATATCTTCTTTATCCATTTGTCAGTTGAAGGGCGTCTTGGCTCTTTCAGCAGCTTGGCGACTGTGGCCATAGCTGCTATGAATGTTGGGGTACAGATGGCCCTTCTTTTCACTACATCTGTAACTTTGGGATAAGTACCCAGTAGTGCAATTTCAGGGTCATAGGGTAGCTCTGTATTTAATTTCTTAAGGAATCTCCACACTGTTTTCCAAAGTGGCTGAACCAACTTGCATTCCCACCAACAATGTAAGAGGGTTCCCCTTTCTCCAAATCCTCTCTAACACACGCTGTTTACTGTCTTGTTGATTTTGGCCATTCTAACTGGTGGAAGGTGGTATCTCAACGTGGTTTTGATTTGAATCTCCCTGATGGCTAGGGATGATGAGCATTTTTTCATGTGTCTATTAGCGATTTGTATGTCTTCTTTGGAGAATCCGTTCATGTCTTCTGCCCATTTTTTGTCGTGATTATCTGTTTTGTATGTGTTGAGTTTGAGGAGTTCTTTGCAGATGTTGACTATCAGCCCTTTGTTTGGAGTGTCATTTGCGAATATCTTCTCCCATTCCGTGGGTTGCCTCTTTGTTTTGTTGACTGTTTCCTTTGCTGTGCAGAAGCTTTTGATCTTGATGAAGTCCCAAAAGTTAATTTTGGCTTTTGTTTCCTTTGCCTTTGGAGACATATCTTGAAAGAAGTTGCTGTGGCTGATATCGAAGAGGTTACTGCCTATGTTCTCCTCTAGGATTCTGATAGATTCCTGCCTCACGTTGAGGTCTTTTATCCATTTCGAGTTTATCTTTGTGTTACGGTGTAAGAGAATGGTCAAGTTTCATTCTTCTATGCATAGCTGTCCAGTTTTCCCAGCACCAGTTATTGAAGAGCCTGTCTTTTTCCCACTGTATATTTTTTTCTGCTTTGTTGAAGATTATTTGAACATAGAGTTGAGGGTTGAAGAAGGCTGAGACATACATTTTCTAAGGGGATGAAAATGTTCATTAGAGGCCGAGAGGGGGAAGAGGAAGCAGACCTTCAAACAACTCGGGTTTGAACTGTAGAAGAATTATTTTATAGGTACAGTTCTGTAAATGTATTTTCTCTTCCGTATGATTTTCTTGATAACATTTTCTTTTCTCTAGCTTACTTCATTGTAGGATGACTTAGAGAGTACATATAACGTACAAAACACGTGTTTATCAACTGTGCGTGTTCTCAGTAAGACCTCTGGTCAACAGTTGACTATTGGCAGTTAAGTTTTGGAGGAGTCAGAGGGGACATGGAGATTTTTGACTGTGCGGGGGTCAGCATCTATAACCTGCAGTGTTGTTCAGGGGTTAACTGCATAAATACAGGCTGCTCCTCTGTTGAAATCCCAGGGGGGCTGCTTCTCCTTGGTGTCTGACCGCCTCCAGCGAGTGGCTGGACCTGAGACAGGGGCCCCACATGGTCTTGTCCGAGTAAGTGCGTGGCGCACAGTAATCTGCTCTCATCCCACAGGTCCTCCCTCTTCCCTTCTCGTTCTCCTCTTTTCTTCCCTAATGCTGGGTCTGCCATGATAATCCGCTCCCTTATGCATTCTTTTATTCAGCAAGTCCCCATTGCTCACCTGTTCTGAGTCAGAATCTAATTCTGTACATTAACGAGAGCCACCCATCACCTGGCTCCAGCTCTGGTCCTAAAGAGGCCAAGAAGGACACGATGCTTTCTTAGTGCCCCGTAGACACGTGTCGTCCTCAGCACTAATAAAGCTCACATTTACTCACTGCTCACTCCTTGTTGGGCGCTGGCTAAATACAGTTTTTACCCAAATACTCTAAATTGATTTAAAAAAAAAAAAGATATTAATTTACTTCATCTAAATGAAGCCTCTCTCTCTGACTTGAAAACCTGTCGTTTCCCAGAAAAAGTTAAAATGTCCCTGCCTGGCTTTTTAAGGCTCCACACTTAAGCTAAATAACTAGTCTTTCCGGCTTTCGCTCTCAATGTTCTCGATGAATCATTTGCTCCCACCACACCCACTTATTCATCGGCCTCCGTGGGCTCCGCACAGCCTGGAGCGCGCTGCCCTTTCTCTCTTTGAAGATGGAGCGGAACCTTCCCCTGAGGCCCTGCCCACATCTCTCCCCTCCCACTGGGACCTCTTCCCTCCTGGTGAATCCCTAAGGCTCAGGCTGTGAATCCTCCTTGTTTGTGGGTTTCCGTTTGCAGTTACTTTCCACAGGCTCCCAGCGAGTCCTCAAGTAGTTGGCTTCCTGCCCCCAGCGCAGCAGGGAGCTCGGTAAACCCTCTGGGGCCCACGCACACCCTGGGCTTCTTCCAGTCCTTGGCTGTGAAAGTCGTCGGGGGCCTTCAGTTATGTGGTGGTGCAGATCGAACCTTTTCATCTTTGAGATGGAGTGAGAACTGGATCTGGGTCGTAGAATAAAAACAGAACTTCTCCCAGGGCAAAATGAGAAAAGGCAGTGCTTTTGTGTTTTTGCTTTTGGAATACCCAAACCCCAGACACGGGCCCCATATTATCTCACGTAACCTTCCTGCTGATCCTACTGGTTGCTGTAGAATCCTGCTTCTTTTATCATCCCTGTGCAGATGAGGAAGCCGCCCAGGGATGCGTGCGGGTCTGTCCAGGGCCACCAGCTGGGAAGTCCAGGGTTCGCAGTCACACTTGCTGTTCTCACTCATCTTTGCCTGTCTCCCAGTGTACGAGTTTGTTTCATTCCACTACTGCACTCAGCACTTTATTTCACTCAGTACTTTATTTTTTAAAAGATTTTATTTATTTGGGGAAGAGAGAGAGTGAGAGCGAGAGCACAAGCAGGGGGAGCAGCAGAGGGAGAGGAGAAGCAGGCTCTCCACTGAGCAGGGAGCCCGATGTGGAGCTTGATCCCGGGACCCTGGGATCATGACCTGAGCTGCTTAATGGACTGAGCCACCCAGGCGCCCCTGCACTCAGTACTTGAAACTGGTACCTAGTAAACAGATTTGGCAGTACCTCTCTCCCATCTCACCTTTTTTTATCCCATTTAAACTGGAATCAATGTATTTGTATTTGTGTTTAATTTGAAACCCTTTGAAAGCAGTTTTTTCTTTAGTGTTTGTCTGCATCAACCCATGCACTAGTCCCGATTGCCGGCGGTGTCTCCTCCCCTGGTGACGAGGAGTTCACCCGCCCGGGGCTCGGCCCTCAGCATCGTGAAGCCAGTCGAGGGGTTGTCTGCCCCGACGCGGGGTCGGGGGAGCCGCTGCTGCTCCGACTGGATTGTGATTGTAACAGCAGCCACATCAGCTGCAATTATTAATGCTCAGAAAGGCAGAATCAGCTGTTTTTCCCCATATGTCTTTCTGATTCGTGTTTAACTGCTTTTCTGCTTGAAAATGCTGCTGCCGTCAGGACTTTTTCCTCGCCTAAATGAAGGTGCCGCACAGACAGTTGTGATCGGCAGTGCTGTCTGCACAAGTTAAAGCCCTCCTCATGTTGTCTTTTCTGTGCAGGTTTGGAAATCAAGAAGGTACAGATACCGAAAGCACAGCGTCGTGATGAAGCCCGACTTGTGGCGGATGGCTGGGTAAGAACGTTCATATTTCAAATCTGGAGATGTAAATATTTGACTTGATATAATGTGACCATACATTCTTCACTACTGATTATTTAAACCTTCTGTTGAGCTCTTAGACAGATGGTCTTTTAAGTAATGAACTCCTTTGAATACAGCGAGATGCCATGTGGTAAACTGATGAAGTCGCATTATTAATAAATATTTTAAGCAACAAAAAAATCCAAAGTGAGAGTGGGTAGCTGCAGATTAGTAAAATCTAAACTCCATCTTCTAGAAGACTAGGGGTATAATGCCTTTCCAGGCATTTTTAGCGGCTCTTCTCCAGTTCTGCAGAGCAGTGGGAAAAAAGGGGATCCCTGTCACGGTTTCCGTCATCAAACCGAATTTACCAAGACTCTCTCTGCCTCTGTGTGTGGCCAGCCTTCAGGATGGTTGAGAGTGCTCCTGCCTCCTTGCCTGGTCACTGTCATCTGAGGCAGCACTGCTGCAGTGAGTTAGCAGGATATATAGAAACAAGATAAAAATGGTCAGAAATGGCCTGGGTGTCTCAGTCAGTTAAGCGTCTAACTCTTTTTTTTTTTTTTTAAGATTTTATTTATTCATCTGACAGAGATCACAAATAGGCAGAGGCAGGCAGAGAGAGAGGGGGAAGCAGGCTCCCTGCTGAGCAGAGAGCCCGATGCGGGGCTGGATCCCAGGACCCTGAGATCATGACCTGAGCCGAAGGCAGAGGCTTAATCCACTGAGCCACCCAGGTGCCCCAAGCGTCCTACTCTTGACTCTGGCTCAGATCATGATCTTGGGGTCATGAGATCGAGCCTCATTTAGGCTCTATGCGAAATGGGAAGTCTGCTTGGGATTCCCTCCACCACCTCCCCTCTTGCTCTCTTGTCCTCTCTCTCCAAAATAAATAAGTAAAATGTTAAAAAAAATAATAAGAGAAATAATATTAACCATTATCTTTGTATGTTTCACCTTGAAATGTAAATTGGATCCGATTTTCAGTTTAAAAAAAAAAAAAGGCTGAGTTTTTCCTGCTATATTTTTGCCTCAAGCCCCCTGGAATTCTAGGCCCATTGACAGTACTGCACTGACTTGTAATCAGGAGGAAAAAAGTGTCCCACTTAAATGAACTTTCCTGATCATGGACGGTCTCGTCAAAGACTCTGCCCACCTGATCACCTAGCGTAGATGTTTGGCTATGTCTGAGGCCTCTCACATCCCCCTGGCTTTCTCAGTAACCCTCCCCATGAACCCGTTACACTCGAATGTGGTCTGCTTTAATTCTGGATACTTTTCCACAGACGTGAGGAGTTTGCTTTCAAATCTCTCCATTCGGGAAGAATTAGAAAAAGGCCCTGGCAAGAGTGGAACAGCGGTTAAAGAGGATGGGGCTGTGAGACTGGAAATCTTTGCAATGGAGCCTTCAGAGAAAGAGGGGGCATCAGGGCGGTGCCCTGGGTCAGGTGGGAGTGAGGGAGACGTGAGACATGCGAGGCAGGCTGGATGTTGGGGGACGGCAGGGAGGGGATTTTACTGGCTGCTCTTGACATGTGTGCCTGGGTGACCAGGGGTGTTGTCACAGCCATGTCTTGGGGAGAGACCACGTGCTGTGGGGAGGGAAGGGTGCTGGTCGCACAGGCCCAGCGCCATCCAGCTCAGAAGAACCAACCCATTTCCGTTTGGCCCACAAATCCTGGCCTGTGTTCAAAAATGTCTTCTGTTTCCCATACTCTTTCTTGAAACCCTTTGGTTTTTTTCAAGCATCTTCAAATTCTGCTCTTTGTCGCTCTGGCCATCTATTGGCCACTTGGTATTTGCAGATGATGGTGCTCCGTGATAAGGCAGACGTGTCTTTGCACTCCACACGTATTCTTCCCAGCCCCTTTGCAGACCTAGACCTTCCTGCTTTTGTGCCTTTGCACACACTGCTTACAGTCACGCCCTTCTCATCAGCCTGGGGGTCGTGGCTTGCCTGCCAGGAGTTGGCTGGAATGCCATCCCATTGTGATGGGTTCTGTCCAAACACCGAGCCTTTGCTGTCCCTGTTCGGGGGAGCTGGGTCCTGTGGGATTTTGTGCAGTTGCATTATGACCACACTGTCGGGAGGCCCGGGTCCCTCTCCTTGGGGTTCTCCTGAGGCTACGTACCTGTTTACCTGCCTTCCAGTAGGTTCATGGTCAATGTTTGTTGAAATAATAAATGAATGAAGTATATTTATGGAGCTCGTCATTGTTTGGGGTTAGAAAACCAATGTTTTGTCTGTGAGTCTTAATGATGTGGGAAGGTAAACGGCAAACAGTACAGATATTCTGCATTTCACGCTAATTATGAGCTGAGGAAAGGGTATGCAGGGGTAGGTAGCAGATTGAGGTGATGAATGAATGAGCTGCGTTATGGTCTCTGAGACGTTTCCCTTGGGAGGAAGACGGCTGAATAGATACTTGCTTATCATCCCGGACCTTAATCTTGTGAGCCTGCTAATAAGGCAGTCACCAAGCTGCGGAAGGAAACTGTCCAATTCTCAACTCTGCGGTTTGAAGAATTCATGAGACCCCTTGTGATTTGGGCTCTGCCTTACGCAATTGCCCGATTACTATAGTCACATTCATACTAATATTTATTTTCCTTTTGCTTGAGCGATTACTCTGTTGAAAAGCTTGTCTGTAAAAAGTGGATTATGTAATTACTTCTCTAGAAAATTGGCTTTCTGCTTACTCTTAGGATTAGCATTTGGGCAGAATGGGAATCGTGTTTTGGGACCACCAGGAGCGTGTCAGGCCCTGCGGGGCCGTTCTGTATGGCCTTTGCCCGGCTCAGGTGTTCAGATAGGTGCCATGAGCAGAGTTGCTCGTGACCCTGCCACCGGATCCACGGTCGGCCGTGGCTCTGCAGGGGAGGGTGTCTCTTCCAGATCTTCGTATTTCAGGGAAAGCTGCGTGAAGACTGAAGAATTTGGAAACAAAATATGTATCTGGGTCAGATAACTTTGGCTCATCACTTATGCACAAGAATTGCTCCAGTGAACACTGGAGAGGGCCTCGAAGAAGCTCTGTGAGTGATGTGGGTTCTGGAGGACGGTGATGCTGGTGCTCCTTTCCCAGAGTGGTTGTCTTCCCAGTTTGCATTTCTGATTGCCCGGGCTCTGCCCTTTCCCTGCCAAAGTGATCCTCAGGACACGTTTTGAACAGCAAAATGATGGTTCCAGAAACACGCGTGACTACAATGAGACCCATGGTTCTGTCCCGAGGGACTGCCTGGTTGTCTCACAGTGACCACCTCGCATCATGCATCCCGCGATCACCTAGACATGAATTGCTTGCTCTGGCTGTGATCCCCTGTCTGCTGTTTATTCTAGCTGTGTGTCCTCCTAGAAAAATCTGCTTTTCTGGTGTGTGTGTGTTGCGGGGGGGAAGGCGGGGCAAAAGTTTGCTTTATTTATTATTTATTTATAATTTTATTTATTTGGAGGAATGTATTCATGTGGCCCAGCAGCGTATTTGGTGGAATGTTTACCCCCGACCCTCTGCCTGCTGGCCATGTCCCCTCCTCACAGCCTCTTGTGCTGTGGACGCCTTGGGAATCATGCCAGAGACGTGTTACGCATTTTCAAGCAGATACTGATCGTCTCCGCTTCTGGTCCTAAACGAGTAGCATATGTAGGATACTTTGCATCTCTAAGTGTACCGTGAATATTTCTTAACTTCTTTAGCTTTCCACGAAAAATAAGCTGATTTGGAAGATGGCATTTTTTGACCTTCTACCTACAGAATTGACAAGACCAGGACGGATTTTTGTTAGGCAGGACACCCCGCTCTCCTCAGAAGGGTGAGCTGGTCTTGATGTCTGAACCCTTCATCTGTGGCTCCTTCCGTGAGCAAACTGATGGCCTGTGGCTCCTGGTCACCACCCCACCCCCACCAAAACCAACCATCCAAATGATAACAAAAAATAAGCAAAAGAACAAAAACCCTTCAAGTCCAGAAAACCTTTCTTGACTAACCAGAATTCTTACTCTCTTTTCCTCCATTTCCTCAGAAAGTATATGATTCTCTGACAAACTTCCAGAGTGTTCCAGAAAGTGTTTTTTTTTTTTTTTTTTTTTTCCCCTCATTGCCCCTGATTCCAGGGGCATTGGAGAATGGCTCCCACTTTGCAGGTCCTTATCTCTGTGCTGGCTGCTCTCTTCCCCAACTATGCCAGTCTATTGGCTAAAACATAACCATTTAATTTTGTATGGTCTTGTATTGTTCTATAACTCGCTGCAACCAGATGGTGAGCTTGAGGACAGGGGCCTCCTTTTATACCCTTGTACACCCCATATTTTAAGGTAGGGTGATTTTAGTGAGAGGTGGTTCTCACTAAAGCTTTGCTGAATGAGAGTTATGCGAATTTAGTCTCCTATCTCTAACCTCCTAGACATGACTCTTCCTCGGGTTCCTTGTTTAATATCTCCAGACCCCACTTCATAATCCCTTCTAGGCACGGCTCTCATTCCTTCTGCTGAGGGGCTCGGGTTGCTCGCTCTTCCTGTTTCCTCATGTCGGGCATCACATTTGCTTACTTTTCAGCAAACAGTGCAGAACCCTGTGATGGTTAGTAACAACTCAGCTGGGCTATAAGCACTCAATTATCTAGTCAGACATACTGATCTAAGTGGGAAGGTATTTTGCAGCTGTGACTAACCTCCACAATCAGTTGATTTTAAATAAAGGAGACATCTGAGTGGGCCTCATCTAATCAGTTGACTCAAAGGAGACTGTCTGGGTGGGCCTCACCCAATCAGTTGAAAGGCTTTAAGAGCAAACCTGAGGTTTTCCTGAAGAAAAAACTGTGTGGACTGCAGCTTCAGCTCTTGTCTGAGAGTTTCTAGGCTATCCTAGGCCCCACAGTTGAGTAAACCAGTTCCTTACCTCTCTCCCTCCTCCACTTCCCCACTGCTCCCCCCTACTCCCTGTACACATGTATATAAACACACACAACTGGATCTGTTTCTTTGGTAGAATCCT